AATTCAATTTTGAGAGAAAGAAAAAGAAATTTTACCTTTTTGGCCTCAACAGTGGCTTCAGTGCAGTAGTGACAATGGCCAGTCTCCTTCTCCAGCAATTGGTTCGCTTTCTGGCTACCCCTCTTCTTCTTCTCTAATATGAGGTATCGGTTAAGGTTTAGGAGTCGACCAAAGAAAGGTTTAAATACTTCTCTTCCTCTGATCCTGATCGTCCCTTTGTGTCAACGTGGAACAAGGAGAGTTGTCCGATTCGAGACTTGTTTATGTAGATCCAGGTGCAAATTTGGGTCGTCCATCGCGATCCTCCGGAGTGAATCTCACTTGTTCATTGCCCCATTTTTGGATCTTCACATAGCTGATCAAAGTTATCCGTTTGAATTTGGGCGGGATTGGGATCACACCGCTCGTGCGGGCAGAAATGGATGTGGGCTATTGGATTGCCCAGGTGCACAAATCGTACGTGTGGGTCCCACGTGGAACCATGCCAGCGTGTCCGCTACACGGTGCGTTTTGACTCGCCGTTGCTGCTAACGTGCTGTCCCCCGTGGTCCACATTCTATTTTTTATGATTTAACCCCCTATTTTTTATTTTTCTTTCAAATATACCCATTTTATTCATAGTTTCACCATGTTTTCCAAAATTAATTTCAATTTCATCTAAATCATATTTCTTAAAAAATTAACAAAAAATTTAAAAATTAAAATAGTTTAATTTATTATTTTATTAATATTAAATTATCCGGCCCAAATTTTTGAGCCTGGATATTACAACAAAAATTTGGTAAGGTGGACTGCCATGTCAGCAGTGCGGCCGGTCGCTGTGCACCGCGTGGCATACACGCGTCCATGCAGGAAGCCACACAGGTGATTTGCATGCCAGTGGATCCAACGGCCCAGATCTCCTCTTACGCGCACGGACTGTTTGGATCTATTTACTCTTCAAGTGCGATCGAAAGACTAGATTTAATCTGATCGTGCGGTCTAAATTAATTTTCTATATAAGAGTGATCTGATGACTAAGGGTGGGCCACGTGTCCTTTCACGAATGCCCCAGATCGACACAGAGAGGGTATATAAGTATCACATCCCATAAATTCTAACCCTAGCCACACTTGACCCCGCTGGAGAAGAAGAAGAAGGGTGACTGGAAGAAAAACTAACTGTCGTTGTCGCCACACTAGAGCAGCCGCCGATACTGGGGAGGTGAGTTTTTTTCTCTTTTCGCTTAAGAATTTGATTTTAAGCCTCCCCACACCCATATTGGAGCCCAAAAGTCAAAAGAAAAGCTGAAAATCGAGAGCAGAGCTTGGCTGAGCCACGAGGCCGCGACCCAAAAATCACTTCGATGAGCCCGATTCTGCTTTCCGTTCCCTTCAATCTTTTGACCATTGAATTCTTAACACGTTTCTGGTGTAGGTCGACCAAAGGAAATCCTCGGTCGCGATAGAGGAATGACAGAGTTGCCGCACCGAAAAACCCTTTCGCTGGTGAGTTTCAGTTTTTCCCTTTTTTTTGGCCAACAAATGCTACCTAACCTTGAATTTTGTAAGTTTTCATACAAAATCGGCTGAAACTGGCTAGAATGAGAGGAGACTTTGTCGTGGGCAACGGAGCCAGTGCCGGAGCACGGTGGCGCCGTGCCAAAACCCTAAACCAATTGGAAAATTTTTAAAACCTTTAGTTTGGCCTTTTTGGAGTATTTCAAAATACGTGACGTGTATTTTTTATTTTCACAAAAAATTTAAGAAATTCGAGAACTGTTAGAAAGTGTAATGGAAAAGGCGGTGTTTCGAACATTGACTCGAGATAAGAATCCCTCACATTTTTCTCACATTACAGTTAATTAAAATTTAATAAATAATAACAGTGTAATTTGTAAATATTAGAAATCTCTGATTAATTAAACACATGTCACTAGTGGAGTCGACAACTGGCAATGTATAATTACCCTAACTTATCTGTGTGACATATTTATTGTTATACTGTTTTACTTGCTTACTGTTACTTTGTGTACTTTAATTTATTGGTTTTAATTACTTTTTTGTTCATCAGTTTACTCAACTGTTTTTATCTCTATCTGTTGATTGGTTTGCAATAGATGCCTTGATTATATCCCCCTTAATTATTAATCTATTTATTTATATTGCATGTGTAATTACCGCGCTATTGTTCTGTAAACATGGATGAGATGATTGTGTATAATTGATGGCTAATTGATGATGTGGACCTGTGTATAAAAGGCTTACTGAGTATCATGAAAAATAGTGTACAAATCCGATACATATGGCGAACCCTACCGTGAATATTACTTCAGTTGAACGGGACTGAAAAGTTCCATACCGAAAGGGGTTGGAAAGTATTTGTTCAATCTTATACCAAACGGGGTATTGGGGCGGTAGTATATTTGACGTCTATTATCGGACGGAGTATGAGAATGACCGATTAATTAATAAATTGGATGTTAGGCTCACGTATAGGAGAAACTTCTATGGACCCCCAGAGATATCGGTAGGTAGGTAAAAATGCAAGGTTGGCTATTATTGTTCCTTGTAATTTATCATAAATTGTTATATTGATTATTGTTTTCACAAGTCGAATTTGAGAATTTAAAAGGTGAATACGAAACTTACTTTTTTTTTTTAATCAAATGAATTTACCTAAAAAAAAAATGACTCTATTGGTTGTTTTATAATTTTTACTAACCTTTAATTTTATGTATCAATGTTAAGTATTTACATTCTTAATAGATTATGATAGTTCATCTTCCTTATTTAACCATTTCAGATAATGAAGATTAAGATCCGAATCTTGAACAATAAGAAAGTTAGCGACTAAAGGTTGTCTCCCACATCCCATCAGAGTTGTTAAGCGAATGTTGACTTTATAGAATTTTAGTTATATTTTTATTTCTGTTATTTTAATTTTCTTAAAATGATATTTTCGTAATCCTATTGGACATTTTAATTTACTATGCAATAAATATAAACTCTAAAATCTCAATTACTTTCGCTATTATTTTATCAATGCAATATTTTCATTCAATTAAGTCTTATACCTTTACACATATCATATTATTACACATTTTTTTAAAAAATAGACCGCATATTTTTAGAATGTATTGAATAATTCATCTAACTATATATATTTTCGATTTATTTCATATATAATCAATATCTATGCATAATTTGAAGAACTAAATACTACTATTTATTGTATGTATTGCCATAATATTTTTATATTATTATTTGTAAATAAATATTACGTTTAAAATCTAATTTTATATTTAATAAAATAAATATTCATGGTATTAAATTTTGTATATTAAAACACCTAACAATAACTAATTTTTAAAGTAGAATTTGTTGTAGTCTTTAGAAGTCCCAACAACTAAATGTGCCGAAATCACACTAATTTTTTCAAATTATGTTTTTTTAAAAAAAACCATGTGTTAATCATGGTTCTCATTACACAAATATATTTAAAAAATAGGTGCATATATATATATATTTACTCTCATTAGTATAACACTAGCTTTGATTCAAGCTATATTCTATTTAATAAATTATTCATAAATTTTTATTAGTTAACATGTAAAAATTAACAATAATTATGAAAGAAATTGAATTGTAAAATTGCCAATGATTATAAAAGCGAAATTGATAATTGATTTTTATTTTCTATTTTTCACAATTTTTTACAAAATTTACAAAATTAACCCCCAAAAGGCGAAACCCAGAAGAGCCAGTGCAATGGATCTGCCACAATTTCAAAAACTTTTAACTGGCCCCACCTTTTCAAGCGAGAGCTCAATCTGATTGGTCATCTTCCTCGCACTAATCTGGTCAATCAAATCAACGGACAGCATCCATTCTTTTCCCGTTAGATATGAAGACACTTGTTGGAAAACCATAATTTTCATTATCAACTTGCGGGACCCACTGGACCACACTCTTTAGCTCAGACCCACGTTATGTGGGACCCAAATACTCGTTCTTGACTCACTCCGTCACTCGCACTTGCCATTTTCAATTCAAATCGAAAAGCCTGCCGGTTTGTTAAGAATCCAAATATAGTGTTGACATTGGACATGTAAGGATGTTCTGGCAACAAATATTCATCGCCCGATCAGCTCGTGGGACCCACTGATTCACTGCTGGCCGTCCGATGAGTACCCGTGAACCGTCAACGATGTGATTCCACCACCGAAAAGGGGTATGGAGGGGTAAAATTATTTACACTCTGGAAACTGGGCAAAAACGACAAGGGGGTTCTATGCAATGACGAAAATACCCCTAAATATTGGGGCCCGCCAGAGAATATTTCAGTGGCTAAATCGTCAAAACCTTGGTCTGGACTTTGGCAATGAGATCACCGCGGCCTCTTTCAAACTCGCTAAAATATTTGAACAAGCACTCCACTCGCATCGAGGCGCGTGGTATCTTTCCAACCACTCCTCTGCGCCTGTTTCACGGAAAAAGAAACTGTTTTTTTTCCCCGTAAATACTTAATATTATTAGTGAGTTCATAAAAGAACAATTAAGTGTTATTATAAATTTAAATTTATTATTAATTATAAGTATTTATATTTTATTTTATTAAATTATATACTTCTTAAAAATAATACTCTGAATTAATATTTTTCAATTTAATTAACTGTAATATTTTTATTTTTATTATATATGATAAACGAAAATTTCACTTGTCAGTGCCAGGACTCCAGATGGAATTAATTTCCTGAAATTTCAGTGTGTAGGTCAGTCGGAAAAAAAAGCCGGAAGCATAAAAAAATGACAGCAAAAATTCCTGAATCAGGCCAAGAGCGTGAAAACACGCGCCAAACTGCAGCTTTAGAAAAGTTTTGCAAGTAGAAAAATAGGACCAAGTGGGCAGCAAGCGAGGGGACACGCAAACCCTATTTGGGCAACGGGCAGCACTTAACGGCCGTCATTCCGACGCCGTTTTATAGACATACACGCAACAAATATCAGCAAAATTTCTATCACCCGCGGGGCAACCCGAACCTCAGGCTCGGCACCCAAAATTCCATCTCTCCTCTTTCGAAAAAAGCCAAGCCACCATCGAAAATAATGGAACCAAACTAGGAGAGAGAGAGAGAGAGAGGAGAGAGGGGGAGAGAGAGAGTAAAAAGAGTAAGAGATACTGAGTTGTAGGGAGAGAAAGTGAAGGTACTGAGTTAGAGAGAGCGAGATGGGTCAGATCGTGAAGAGGAAGAAGAAAGGCCGGCCATCTAAGGCGGATCTGGCGCGTAGGTCGGGTTCGCCGGCGAGGGCAACGGAATCTGAAGTGCGCCGGAGCCTCCGACGAAAAAATGTGAGGTATAACATCGACTACGACGATTATCTAGACGAGGACGAGGAGGACGAAGCAGAGGAAGAGAGGAGAAGAGAGAAGAAGCTCAAGCTCGTGCTTAAGCTGAACCAGAACGAAGGCGACGGCGAGCCAACCGCGCCGAGTCGAGGTCGTCCGTCAGCGCGTGGGAGACACGCGGTTGATGAGGACGAGGAAGAGAGAGAAGAAGAAGAGGAAGAAGAGGTGGATGAGGAAGAGGAGTGTGGGAAGAAGCCAGTTAAGAAGAAGAGGATTAACGGCGGTGACAATGATGAGGATGACGATGAAGATATTGATCGTGGTGATGATGATGAGGAGGTATGTACTGAATCATTTGTACGGATCCGATGGGAAGTAATTAGTAATGTATCCAGGGTATATTGAACTGAGTAGTGAAAGTGGACAGTGGCTAATATTGGGGTTTACCAGAGAAAGAGGGAAGAGAGGAAGAGAGTGTACACCTCAGCTGAAATCATCCACACTACTGCGGAGATTTTTCTAATTGGTCCAGACTTCTATATGACTCTCTCTCTCTCTCTACTCTCTACTCTCTTTCTATATCTATCTGTCTCTCTCTCTCTCTCTCTCTCTAGCTCCTCACATTCTCTGTTATTGTGTGTCGGGGGGATTGATGGATATTAACGGTCGGGGTCAACTGTCAAAAACTAACGCACGCTCTCACTCTCTGTCTTTCTCTCTCTTTCTCTGTCTTTCCCAAACAGAATCTGATCACGCTCCCACCTTTCTCTCTCTATCCACCTCTTTATCTCTCTATTTCTGTGTATCTTTTATTCTCTATATTTATCTGCATGTCTATCTGTACCTACATATTGTCTGCTTTAACTGTCCCAGTCTATGTCGCACTGTCTTTATCTTTCTCTAGTACGAGAAATGTTGCCTTGATTGGAGGGTATGTATTTATTTGTGGGCTAAGGCTTGTGAGTTTCGTGGATTTTGACAGGAAAAGGGGAGAAAAGCAGGAGCCAAAGGTCGAGACTCTGGCTCAGGTTTATTTTTGGGTGGATGTGCTTCTTTCTTTTTTTTGTTTTCTGTAAAAATCTAAATTTGGTGTTTCAGAGAGTAAATCTGACACGGGTTTGTTGAATTTGTGGTGTTTTTAATTAGGGGTGCCATGTGATCCTTCCTCTGGGATTCCCTTGCCGGATAGGAAGTCACTGGAGTTGATTCTTGACAAGCTTCAGAAGTTGGTGACGCATCTTTTCTGTTATCTGTATGTGGTCGCATTATGTTGCTTATTGATGTTCTGGTATTGAATTTTAACAGGAAAGACACATACGGTGTATATGCAGAACCAGTTGATCGTGAAGAGGTTTGTGGAATATACTTTCAGGTTATATGAATGTTATGAAGTAAATAATAGCATGGGGGATTTAACTTTTTCTATGTTTTTTTCGTTTTTTCAGCTTCCTGATTACCACGATGTAATTGAGCATCCAATGGACTTTGCCACGGTGAGGAAGAAGTTGGCAGGTGGATCATATTCGATATTGGAACAATTTGAGGTGGGTAATAGTTTCGTTTGGCTTTGTCATCCTGCTATTTATTGCCCTGCAATACGGGCTGCTCCCTTTGATGGTTCTGGATTGTGTCAGCTCGCCTTGTTTTCTAAGAATTCCTGTTCTGTTACTTGTAAATGCATGAGATTGTCCCTGGTGAAGAATTTTACTTTGCTCTTCCTTTTAACTATGTTTTATCTTGTTAGAGACTTTCCCTCGACCCTCTGCTGTTTTTCGCTCTTCAATTTTAGTCTTTTCACTGACAAAAAGATCATGTGGAGAACCCATGATTGATGACTGTCATAGTGTCCAAATTAAGAAGGGCATGTAGAAGTCTTCCGTTATGCTTTTGATTTACTTTTAGATTCCATTGGTGGACCTTCATTAGTTTCCTGAATCTGCATTTATTTCCGTGAGGAAACTAGTGCTTGCCAAATCAATATCCAAACTTATTTCTTTGAAGAATCTAGTGTTTATAATCATTATTTCTTTCCAATTCTAGATATATTTATCCCATGCAAATATAGATTTCACTATATTCATGGACTCCTACATAAAGTAAAATTTAGTCATGCTTTAGGGCTTGTGGTTGAGGAAAATGACTGGCCTACTTACACTAAGAATGGAGGATATGGGAACTTCAGCGCTGTTTTGGAAATCCTCAGTGTTGTCAGTACTTAATTTGAATGCTACAGAGCTTCATCTGGATGGTTGAGAATTGTCACCTAAGTTTCAGTTAGAATTTAATTGCTCATTTTACTAGGTATTCCAAATTGAGTCGGTAATTAATGGCATCTTTTAGCATCTATTAATGTGATGATCTCTTACTTGCTTTTGTTTTTAAATTTAGATGACCTTTTCCCATCTTAAGGGGGAAAGAATTCAACTTTAAAAATAAGACTCCTATAGATACTGATTAGAGAACCCAAAATTTGTTGCCCATGGCACTGTGGTTGATAGACTGCTTACATTTAATACTTCAGAAACCTTTGAACTGAAGTTCCTTATGCTTGAAGTTACTGAATTCAAATACCTTGCCTAGAAATTTTGTTCAAAGAAATGCATACATTTTACAGTGGCTCATGGAGCTGGTTTTCTTAATGCAGAGAGATGTATTTTTAATTTGCTCAAATGCCATGCAATATAATGCACCAGATACAATATACCATAAACAGGTATTAGGTCTTTGGGATTTTTTTCCCTCAGCTGTATTGTTCTTATTTTGTTTTGTGGTTAATTAAGCCATCCATTTATTTTGTGGAGGCACGATCCATTCAAGAGTTGGCAAAGAAAAAGTTTGATAAGGTAAGGATGGATGTTATTGAACGCACAGAGAAAGAGTTAAAGTCAGAGCAGAAAATGAAATCTACTTTCTCGGTGAAGAAGCCCATGAAGAAACCTTTGAACCGTGCCCTTCAGGAACCTGTTGGTTCCGATTTCTCTTCAGGTGCTACTCTTGCCACTGCAGGAGATATCCAGAATGGTTTGATTGCAACCCAACCTGGTGGTTATGAGAGGCCAAACAATACTGATGGGATTGTAGATGCTAACTCATTCCTAGTTGATAATAATGTAGAGAAGGCAGAAGAACCATCATCAGGTTGGATGCTTCTTTTTTTTTCTGATGTTTTTCATATTATTCCTTAAATCTTTGCTGTGTAATTTCAGAAGCAGATATTCAAAGGATGAATATATGTTTTTCAGAAATTTTTATCTTATGTTGGTATTTTTAGCCTATGGAAGGGATTTTACAGCATTTAGCATTAGATTCTCCTTGCCTCTTTCAAACACATCCAAAGACAATACAATAAGATGATATGCAGGGTGCAAATGTTGGTTTCTCAGAATTTTTATCATTATTTTACCCTATGGAAGGGATTTTACAGTATGTAGCATTAGATTCTCTGAGTCTCTTTTAAATAGATTGGAAGCCATTCAATAATAATCTTGATTTGGATGTGGCAGATACTGTGTGATAACTTCCTAGTGGCTGAAATTTTATCCAGAAGTGTTGCCTGCTGCTCTGTTGTCATTTTGTTGCATTTTTTTGTCCTAATTGTTCCTTCTGTTTCAGGAAAAGGTCTCTTAACTAAATTTGCGAGGAAGTCGTCTGCAGTCGACGAGAACCGCCGCGCAACCTATAATATATCTAATCAACCAGTTGTTAGACCAGATTCAATTTTTATGACTTTCGAGAGTGAAATCAAGCAGCTTGTTGCAGTATGACACTGAGAACTTCTCTCCACTTGATTCTAATATTCTCTGCTCACCTTACTGATATTTTTTCTGAATCAGGTAGGACTACATGCAGAAAATTCTTACACCCGGAGTCTGGCTCGCTTCGCTGCTACTCTTGGACCTATTGCATGGAAAGTTGCATCGAAGAGGATTGAGCAAGCACTGCCTGCAGGTAGCAAGTTTGGTCGTGGATGGGTTGGAGAATATGAGCCACTTCCAACTTCAGTCTTAATGCTCGAAAGTTGTAAAGAAAAAGAGTTTTCACTGTTTACAAAGCCGAAGTCTAGTGTTGATTTGCGGAGGGATGACATGCATGTTAAGACCACTGTACTCGCTAAGGAGCAAGCTGCTAGTGGAGCTGCCTTAGAAGGGAAATCATCTTTGTTTCATCCTGCTTCTGGAAAGGTCTCAGACGGAAAACCTTCTTTTATAACTTCTCCAGGAGCACAACCAAATTCCCCTTTTCATGCTACTAACCAGCAGCTACAAAATCCACTATCTCGGACCTCTGTTAACCCTCAAAATCATAAGGTGTCAAAGCAAGTTGAGTTAAATTTGCCACCTACAGCCAATCAAAACAATGCAGAGTTTGTTCCGGAGAAGGCAAATTCAAATTGGTCAGAAACAGTAGCCTTGAGGTCAAGAGAAATGTTAACAAGAAATGCAACTCTTTTACAGTCTGCTTCTCAGAAGCAGCTGGATAATAATGCAGTTGCCAGTGGAGCATTGCCTGATGGAAAAGTCACAAGTAATGGTTTGAATAACCGGATGGTTAGTCCTACATCTGATATCATTGCCAACCAGATGGCCCGGGCAGCAACCTATTTCCCACATGCACAGGAGCAGGGTCTTAATGATCCGGTTCAGCTGATGAGAATGTTTGCTGAAAAGGCTCAGAAGCAACAGAATCCTTCAAGTCAACCAGCAGTTGATCCCCCATCAGCTGCATCATCGGTCCCATCTGAAAGAAGAGATGATTCAAGTAACGCTGCAGCAGCTGCTGCTCGTGCATGGATGTCCATAGGTGCTGGAGGGTTTAAACAAGCAAATGAAGCCAGCAGTCCAAAGAATCAGATTTCTGCAGAGTCATTATACAATCCAGCTCGGGAATTCCATCCACAGATTTCGCGAATTAGAGGGGAATTTCCTTTTTCGGCTGGGATGCAATTCTCACCTGACAAGTTCCCACTTCAGGCTTTTGCGCCACAACCACTACGTGGCGCAAACGAAGCGCAGTTCCAAAACAGGCCAATAGTCTTCCCTCAGTTTGTTGCGGCTGATTTGGCTCGGTTTCAGGTGCCATCACCTTGGCGAGGCCTTAGTCCACATGTTGTCCAACCAAGGCCAAAACAGGAGACACTTCCTCCTGATTTGAATATCGGTTGCCAGTCTCCAGGTTCTCCAGTTAAACAATCTTCAGGTGTAATGGTGGACTCACAGCAGCCGGACCTAGCTCTGCAACTCTAATTCTGGAAGGATGAACATTGCTGAGGAACTGGCAAACGAAGGAAATTCAAATGCTACATTCGGCTCCCAGTCTTAGGGATGTGAAAATTCATTTCCTAAGCCATAGTTGACAAAAATTTGAGAATGCCTTGTTTTAGTGGCAGGTCTTGGATTTTGATGCCTGACTTGATATTAAAAACCCTCTACCTGGGGTTAACAACTTGCAAATGTCAGGTTTCAGTTCTCTGACCGGTTTGAACTCGTATAAAATGGATATTGTGCTGTAAGATCAGAGTCGAGTTGCAAGTGGAATCCGAAGGACGTGGAGCAGATTAATTTTGATATATATCTACATGGTCTAACGAAAAAACTGCTGACTTGGCACGGCACGAATGATATACTTTTTATCCAGGAGGTAAAATATTTCTGTTGATTAGAAGTTGTTGATCAGATAAGGTATATATAAAACCTAGTCGATGGGTGGGTTGTACATTGATCACAGGTGGATGAGAGAAAGTAGTTGGTTAGATTTCAGTCATGGCTGGCTGATTCCCTTTTATGTCATTCCATTGACAATACCAACTTCTTCAGTTCATACTTGCTAGTATGATTGTTCTGTACATGTGAATCAAATTTCTCACAAATGGAAAATTTCAATTTCACTCCTATTTTTGATCTAATTTTGTTAAAACTCTGGACGATTGAACCAGTTCATACTTTGCTTGTATTGTTGGTTAGATTCTCAGAAGTCATGTTGAAAAGAAAGAGTCCAATTCTAAAGAATGATAAGAATTGGTCGGATTTAATTTTATTTTTATCTTATTTTTCTTTTTTCATTTAATACAAGATCAGTATAAATTAGTACGTAAAATAATTAAGTAATAAAATAAAAATTAATTCCAATTAATTTCTTGTTTTCTCTCTCCAATTGAGAGGAGCCATAAGAACACATTAATATTATTTATTTCATAAACTCCGCTAATCAGAAACAATAAAAATAAATAAATAAAGAGAGCAAATTTTCAGTCCCTGCAGAATCTCGGGACCTGAAATATTGACGAGCGTTTGAAAAGCGATCGAGTTCAATCAGAGAAACGTTAATGGTGGATGTAACCCTAATTCTTCAGGGATAATTTCGCCTTCTGCCACAGAATGACCGAAAACTCCATCATCTCCATCTCGCCTATTAACGTATAAAAGTATATACACTATTAATACCATTGACGATTTCCATCCTCGTCCGGTCCCCTCCATCAGATCTATCTCGTCAGGTCTTCTCCACGAAATTCCCTGCTAGGCTACTTCCGTTTATCTGATCAGCGCTCTTCGTTCGCTTGATGTTCGGCATTTTCCGGCTGGAATTCTTAGGGGTGGTTCTTAGAACACAAATATCACCTTTGCATTCGTAGCGTCTGGATTTGGGAGATTCGTAGAAACAGCTGATTATATTCGATAACAAAGCCATGATCGTAAGCTGGCTGCTTCTCCTCCGCGTATCTATCTATATATAACATGTATGTTATATATATGCAAGAAAGGAAGGATCAAAAGCTTGACCGTTTTCCGTCGCCTTTGCGTGGGCGAAGAGTCAATTTAAGGTTTTATATATGTTGGTAAGCTGCACACGCTACGAACGTTTACACCATTAAAATCTTGGAAGGTAGAAGAAGAAGCTGATCGTGGGACCCGAAGCTTGGTCTTCTATTTTTAAACGACGCTGAAATTGGAATGAGGCAACCATATTTAAAGCAGGTAGATTTTCTTATTTTAATTTCATACTGATCCTAATTTCGTAATAGATAAATTTTTTTTTTCTTAAAAAAATGTGTATATATATATATATATATATAGGGAGAGAGTATATGAATGTCATGACTTATCATACAAGCCAAACTAAATTTTTATTTTTGGAATTTATTAGGAAATTTATAATTATTTTAATTATGAAATTAAAACTAATTTTATAGACAGGTTCGGGGAGATTAAGATATATTTTGTCTCAATTTCATTTGGGATTATCTAAAAAAATTGTATATTCCTTTTATTTTTAAAAGTAAATGGAGATTTCTAAATAAATATTCACAAATAAATATAGTCAACTTAGGATAATTATAAGATATTTTACATAGATTAAATTTAGTTATAATTTTACATGTTTAATATATAACTAATAAACTTCATTTATATCATAAGTTTTATTTTCTCAATTATTTAAAAATAAATAATAAAAATTTTCAATTTAAATTAACAGAAAAGTGACAATTAACATTAGAAATCGTATTAACACGAAATAGGTTGATATAGTTACAAATTCGGTGTAGTCTTATGGCGGTGGACCAATCTCATGTGTCGGAAAAGGAATGGGAAGATCTAACAAAAAAGGAAGAGGTATTTTGGGTACAACATTCAAGAATTGATTGGTATAGTTTGAAAATTAAAGTATCTCTGTATTTTTGTGTTTGAACGACAGACAAAATAATGAGCATGGATGACGAATAATAGACAGATCGAGAATGTTTTCTTCATACTTTTAAGAAGATTTTTACACTAGAAAAAGAGAAGAAGACATGGATGGGCAACTGATTGTGTCATATTTAGGGTGGTTGTGAGTTGCATGAACAAATAATTACTTATTGGATGCTTCCATTGAAAGCAGAAGTTCTTAGAGCATTACACCATATCACCTTGATGGAGGGTGTGACTTTAGCCATCCCCATATACATTACGAATATTTCATTTTCTCATATAATATTCACAATCAAATAGAAAAAATTAGTTCACAATTTTGACAAAAAATAATATAAAGGAGCATAGAATTCGTTAAATAGTGTAAAATAAGACGCGTGCGAGAAAACTTATATAAGGGGACTTAATTTTAGAGATTTGAGTTATTTTAATCAAACTCTTTTAACTAAGCAAGTTCGAAGACTACTTCAAAATTCAAATTTTACTTATTTATCGGATTTAAAAGACAAATTATAGCACGTAAATCTAATTATATGTGAAAAAATATTATAGATGAAAATAAATTACTTCAATGAGACGTATGTTAGAGAATTAGTTACGGAGAACTTACATATAAAATAGAAAAATAGATTCAAAATAATCACGGTAAGGGAGTCTATGTACCGGGCCAAAGTTAGCTTTTAACTTTTCATGGTAGTTGATTTAATTCATGGGACAAACAATACATGAAATGAGTGACTTATTGAGAAACTTGTTTTTTTTATTATCAACTATCTTATTAATTTCATTGAAATTTTATATTATTCAACTAAATATTGTAATCAGATTGTAATGAATTAATACTAATTGAGTTAAACATTGCAAGAAAATTACAATTTTATTAGAATATTATTACACTTTGGTTAGTATTTTTTTTTTAAAAAAAGATTTATATATATAATTATACAATTTGTCTAATTGAGATTCAATTTGAAAAATTGCGTCTACTCAAGTATTTTAGGGAGCTTATGATGGCAAAATATGTTGAGATATAATTATTATTTTATATTTTAATAATTATGATGAACCTAAAAAGTAAATTTTTATATTCGTATTTTCCAAGGGAGAAAAAAAAAAAAAAAAAAAAAAAAAGGAACCAATCCCATTCCCTACTCTTCTGTCACTCCATTTTGTTTCACCGCAGTGAAAAGTGTTAAACCCCAACCAACTTCATCAATTCAGAGCTGTAATAGAAAAGCCAGAGCAGGCTGTTGGGTTTAGGGGGTTAAAAACTAAAAAAGTGAGTAAAAAATGGAGCCGCCTAAAAGGCTCCACCATTCAAAACAAGAAAAAATTTATCCCCTTCTCCCAAATATTTTTACCCTCCTCCACTAAATTTTTTTTTTTTACCCTTTGTGGGTCCCACTCTACGAGACCCCACCGAACATCCCTTCAGAGGGCCCCACTTTCCATCCCCCTCCTCCTCCGCCTCCTCCTCCCCCTCCTCCTTCCCTTCCTACAAATACCAGAAAGTCATTTCTCCAACAATGGCAGGTTTTACCATGACGAGGAGCAATGAAGAAGATGAACTGGAAACTGGAAACTGGAAACTGGAACCAATTATTATCACCATAACCAGGATCTTCTATGACGTTTGAGGACCATCTCTCTTTCTCTCTCCCTCTCTGTTTCTCTCTTTCTTTTTATGAAAATAAGGAGACCACCATAGAAATCTCTAACTTAAAATTTCTCATTCTGGAGTATAAAAAAAAAACAAATAAGGAAACCCACCATTTTTAACCCAAAACCACGAATACCCTTCATGTACTTCTGCTAGAAATCTTGTCTGCGTTTCAAAAAATTCTGTGAAGAACTGCAATACGTTGTGCTTTGTAGGACATAGAATTGTCGATTTGTTCTTGATATAGTATTGGTGTTTTGGTGCCGTGGGGGGTGGTGAAAATGATCCCCTACGGCATAGGAGAAACAAATGCAAGTGGGTCGTCAAGATCGAGCGGTGAGATTGGGGGAGGAGGAGCTGAAGGTGGGGTCGGAAAAGTGATATTGAAGAAGGGGCCATGGACGGCGGCTGAGGACGCAATCCTGGCGGAGCACGTTAGAACGCACGGTGAAGGAAACTGGAACTCCGTGCAAAAGATCACCGGGCTGGCTCGGTGCGGCAAGAGCTGCAGGCTCCGGTGGGCTAATCATCTCAGGCCGAATCTCAAGAAGGGCGCCTTTACACCTGAGGAGGAAAGGCTTATCGCCGAGCTTCATGCCAAGCTCGGTAATAAATGGGCGCGAATGGCAGCTCAGGTAACAACTTTGTTATATCTATATATAAATAATATTATATATGTATGTGTGTGTGTCTCTTGTATGGTGGGTTTCAGGGTTCTTTTGTCTGGTTTTGAGGGTTCAATTTTTTAAAACAAAACCAATATATACATATGTACGTATATGACAATAAATGGGCGGGTATTGGGTTTTTCATTCTAGTTTCTTTCTCTCTTTTTTTTTTCAATGAATTGATCCTTCATCTTTATATATCTAAATAGAGAAAAAGCACTAATCCTCTGTAAGTTTTGAATGATCTAAAGGCAAATTTTCTGTGCTTTATCAAACTGGTATCCCAGAAAAAATAAAAAAAAAACCTCTGTTTTTCTCTGGTTTTGTTTCAATTTCTAGAGAATCTAGAGGCAAATCAATCAAATTCATGTCTGTTTTTCTTAGTTACCGGGAAGAACAGATAACGAAATCAAGAATTACTGGAACACAAGAGTTAAGCGTAGACAACGACAACGTCTTCCTCTTTATCCTCCCGATATCGAACCAACCTACCAACAAGAAGGACAACAGCAACCATTCTACCATTGTCATCAGCAACAACAGCCTCAGCAGCAGCCACACTCACAGCCCATGACACCGATCTCTCCGCTCTCCTCCTCCGCACCCACGACTCCATCTTCGTCTTCTTTCACCTTCCAAACCCATCTCCTTCCTCATTCCCCAACTCCCACAACTCCAAATCCTCCTTCTCCTCTAACTCCTCCTCCTGTGTCTCCAGCTCTTTCTTCGCCCCACAATTTCCCCACACTCTCTCTTTTTGGAAATGGCACCAATTCTCCATTATCTACCGCTACCACCCCTACCAGCAACGCGATCATCAGCCCCTTCTTCTTCCCACGAGCACCTCCTCTACTCCAAACCCCACTACGCTTGAGGCGTCTGCAACATGAAACTGCTACTAACACTACTACTACTCCTCCTCTCACTCCTAATAACAACACTACAAACACTGGCTGTAATGGATTCATGTTACCCTTTTCGTCTTTGATTAACGAGTCTTCGTTTACCTCACTCGTAACCCGCCACAGTTCATGTCCTACTACTCCTACTGATGCAATTTCCCCACAATTACCCCTTCTGGGTTCTCCCACTGTTCCTTCCTACTCATTGAGTAATAGCCCCTTGACTTTTGGCCCTGGTTCGCCTCAAATGCTTCGAGGTGGCCAACAACATATGGTTCCAACAACAGATTCGATCTTTCCAATGAAAACAGAGCTCCCTTCAAGCCAACTATTGTCCCAAAATTCATTCAGTGAGTGGGCATTGGATGCTAAGTTGAAAAAGAACAGCAGAAAGAAGAAGATGATGTTGGGGATACGTCCATGCAGTACTGGGTTGCTGGAGGATTTGCTGTCTGAGTCCCAGAATTTTGGAGGGGAAAGCAGCCATGAGAATATGAAAAGGAGACATATTTTGGAGTTGGAAGAAGATAAGCCTGGATTGGGTGGGTTTGGTTCCTGGTCTGATACAACTAGTATCAGCTTATCTTCAGGTCAGCAAATCTAATTTACTATATATATATATAATATTTATGATATTCTGCAATAACCATGAAAGTAATCTTTTTTTGACAGACATAGGATTTAAACAGAAGGAAGAAGTACCTACCCAGATAAACACTTTACACGAAGACTTGACCAAATTAATCAACGGTGTACCTTCCATGCGTGTTCCTGATCAATGGTACAATGATACAGGAGATCAAATCTCCAATGGCCAACAATCTTCAGTCGTTACAGATGATAATCTGGGAATTGATCTGCAACAGATAGCTTCACTGTTCCCTGTTGACCCTGCAACAGAACCAGGAAGAAACACTGGTTCTTGCTCTTGGGATAACTTACCTGGGATTTGCTAAGAAGGGTTTTTACCCTTTACGGGAGGAAGAAGAAGGGACTGAAATTACCCTCCCAAAAAAAAAAGTTTGTATGAAATATTATTAGGGTTTCTCAAGACTGATTGTTTCCTCAATGGGGTTTGATTATAATCATTATTTTTAATCTTTTTGTCATTTGAACTCTCTGTATATATATCTGTTGTTCCCATATGCAGTAAGATCCCAGAATCGTATTGGAGATTAGTGGTTCTGTGATTCTGCACCACAATTACTGAGCTAATTTTGATTGCCTCTCTCTATCTTCATCTTTCCGAGTAAAACCAATTTTTTTGTTTGCAGTCAATCGAGTTACCATAATGTTTTATTTTGTTTATCAGATGGTAAAAAAAAAAAACGAAAAGGAAGTGCTTAAAGTTTGATTTAGTATAAGAAAGTTCTCTAAGACATTTGATTGAATCTTTTAATAAAAAAATAAAAGATATTGCCACCCACTTTCTGTATTTTTCGAGCTTTAATTTATACGAGTTGTTGTTAAATCAAATTATAATATTTAATTTAATAAAATTAATAACTTAATTCTGATAAAATTATAATAATTAACTCGAATTATACTTTAACAAATTTATGATATTTGTAAATAAAAAAATATTTTAAAATAATTAAATTTTTTTTATTGAAATAGTCACAATAAATTAAGAAATTTGAGATAAATTTTTTCTAGTGTCCACAAAAAAAAAAAAAATTCAACTTACATAATTAAAAGTAAAATTACTTTTTACCAAAATACCTTTTAAAACTATTCCATTCTCATCTTCAGGTGTAGATGTAGAATGATTTCCAACAGTTTTTCACTTACGACGATATTATGGATGTCTCCTGATTTCAAATGTGTATGACGATCTCTTAATTTTTTTTGTAAAAAAAAAAAAAAATTATTATATTAAAATATATTTTTAAACAGTTAGCGGTTAATTCCCATTTTAATTTTTTTTTTAATTGATTTTCACTATAACATCTCTAACTAAAGGAGCTATAATTATTAAAACATATTTTTATATAGTGGGCAATTAATTCCCAATTTGATTTTTTTGTTTTCCTTTTAAATTTCAAGCTCTAAGTTTTAAAAATATTTGAGGGTTTATTAAGCATCTTTATTTTCAACCCAGAAGCCATATATAAACTTCAATATGAAGTAGATAAAAGACAACTGAACATTCTCTAAATTTAACCATGTCCAACGATGATGAACTATTTTAACCCTGCCTAAATTTGAAAACATATAGTCTTATCATTTCACACGGCAAGAGGCAGTAATTAATTGCTGTCAAATCAAGTTTTTGGTGTTCCAAACGAGCAAGCTTTAAAGCTTCTTCCCTGTTTTTACTGAGAACAAGGTCCAAGCTGATCACTATCTTATATGTGTATATATATAGAAACCAAGTATTGGGAAATTCTACCCTTCTCATTTTACAAGGAGATATAGTTCACCAATTAGTTTTTTTGTTTTCTTCTTGAATGGTTAGAATTCTTTTTACTGTAATATAACGGTTGAAAATGTGAAATAAAAGATTATCATCAAAGAAGAGAATTTACAATTCAGTTAAAATATTTATAAGATCTCCTATATTCTCTTCGTTACATTTAAGAGAAAGATAGACAATAAAGAATACATTGTCCATAGCCAAGGATAAAATTTTGGAGAGTTCATAGTCAATTTTATAAAGCTTGAAGTAGTTTATTCTTCTATCAACTGGTATAGATGCTCAAATGTTCAAACTAATAGCATTAATATGACTTATAAGAGCTCACAATCACATATTTTCTGACATGGGACTTTAGATTTCACGGAATTTTTTCCAAACTTGAAATATGTAATTACCACTAAGCTAACTAAGCCTGGAGGCACCAAAATCTACTATTAACATCTCGAGAACAAGTTGAGTAAGAGATAATCCAAGCCCTATGAGTAAATAACCATAGAAATCTACTTTCATCAAATGACCAGGTATATCCATAATACCAAACATTAAGCAGAGGGCAGCATCCAAGAAGATCTAACCTCCTGATTGGCTGCTTTGGGTTCAAACAGACACCAAATATTTACATCCTTTACACCACCTAATTTGTCTTCTCAAAGTTGTATTGACAGAGTTCAGCAAGATAGTCCTTCAAATGATGCTCCAAATGTATTCTCCCCACTGTAAGTCATGTACAGGAAACCATCTTCATCCTTGTGCTCTTCATAAATTGCAGACATCATGGCAGCTGTAATAATAGAAAGGAAATTATAAGTGAACTACAGTTGTAAAATTGTATCAATTGAACTCACAAAGAGTTCTCACCAGTGGGTGGTAAAATGTTTTTGACAAAGACAAATATAGCCTTCTCGGCGCTAATCTTTATCCTCTTCCTCACCACGTAAACAAACTGCCCGACAGTAAGATCAGCAGGGACCAGATATCTGCAAACATCATGGTCTCAGACTCACGAGAATATATTCTATGGAATCAGTTTAAAACTTATCATAAGAACTTTGTTTAAGAACAGATGGTACTCAATTCAAACCAATTAGTACATCAGACTGCCACCAGATTCATCAATATACCCATTTCCACAATATCTACACACTGCAACGGACTTATTTTCCAATAAGCATAAGCTTATCTAAAAGTGTTTTAATTTTTGTTACTCGTTTGATCAATAATAAAGAATTCTTTTCAGGGAGTAAATAACAAATAGCTAATAAGTTGAACAACTTAGCACTTTTTCTAAAAGTGTTTACTCTTCAAAAGCTATTAGGATGTAGCTTTTATTTTAGAGAGCTTATAAACTCTCTAAAAATTTCTTGGATTAACAAGAAATTGAGTAAAGTAATCTTTAACAATTTTAAAAGTCTATCTCCATATACCCAAGTAACACCATGCATCTTTTATGGTGTGCCTTTTGTTACTTTAGCAATACCGATAACTTATAAGCTATATCTTTACCGAACACATAAATAAACTAATATTACTTACAAGGTCGTGTTTTCCAAACTCTTAAACACAAATAAAGTATGTTAGGTTATAGATAGATAAAGCACTTATAAAGCTTATAAGCTCTTTTATTTTCGGGTGGAGCCAAACATGTTGTTTGGCATATGGACCAGCATTGTTACTTATTTTTCTAATGACAGGAGGTGCATAATTACATAATCTAACCCAAACTACTTAATATCAATAAAATTATAAAACAAAGATTTTCCATAAGCCAGCAGTCACTATCAATATTTCCACTTGAAAATGGAAAACTGCTACACGCAAGGATGAAAACGAACCTTGTTCAATAAGGACCACACGTGCAAAAATCAAGTCCAGAAACATTAAAATAAATATCTAGAAAAGACCATAAAAGAGAAACTAAGATATCACTAACTTCTTTTTGTCAATATCAGGTATGTCACTTGTTTCGGCTTTCTCCACGATAATCTATACAGCACAAGAAAAACCAATGAATAGAATGGACGAAAATATTGGTGACATACATCCAATAGAATAATCGATTTTCCATTGTGCATAACACATATAACTTAATTATTCATACCGGTATTCTATCAGGATACTTCTCCCTAATTCGGGAAGCTTCTGCCTGCCTCCTTTCTGCCATATAAAATCAGTTAGTCTTAACAGAAAGTAAAAAAACAAAACACTTGGTCCAAAATGTGAAATTCATTTCTAATTTCACACTTACTTTTAACTATAAAACAATGATAATACTACTTATGAAAAATTGAGTTTGTATAAAATTTTATATGGAATTGGAGTTCCATCAACCTTAATGGAATTTGAGATGTACTGTTTCAGTTCTGTATGATGAAATTTCATATAAGCTTAATGTTTTTTGTCATCACAATACGATTTACAACCTCTTTGAATTGAATTAACTGTGGATTTACAAATAATTCCACAATAATCTATATATTTGTTCCAATCATAGCCTAAGAATGACATCAAGCAAATGATACAGAACCCAGGATCAACCAATGTGATAAAAAATCCACATATGCAATTTAACACAAAAAACTTAACCCCTAAACAAACCTTCCCTACTTAATCCACAGTCGACTTGTGATTGAAAATTAAGATAATTGTGATAAATGAGTTGATTAGATCATCACAAGGAAAACCTTGATAAACTAAACTATAAAGACAGCCACTGCAAAAAGCTAAACTAAGTAATATTAAAATTCTCTAAACAAAATTACTCCTATTAGAAAATTTTAATTCCAGGTCGACAAATTACGAGTACTTTAACGACTTTTCCATCTGTCAATCTGCCTATCTCTGTAAGTTCTTTATTTTGGGTTAGAATCTAAAATTGTTAACACAATCAGAAAGAAAAATCCCAACCATCTAGTGAAATAACAACTTTACTTTCTATCAAAATCCATCATTATGCCTTCACTTAGTTTAAGTATATATACTCTATGCTAACTTTACTTAACCAGCCAATATTTATTCTTCACAGTCTTACAGATTATGCTTTTGCAGAACAAATTTCTACAGGGTCACAAAAATCTGACAGTTCAACCCATAAATTTATGCAAATACCACAGGTTTTTTTTTGGAGAATAACAGATCATTCTCAAACAGATCATCAATCCACTAGCAACCCAGATCAAAAAATAAATATCCCTCAAATAAAGTTAGGAGGTTTCAAATTAAAACAATCTAAACACAGATCAGAGAGAGAGAGAGAAAGAGGAAGAGAACCAAGTGGGTGTTCAAGTCTGAAGGAGCTCTTGGCCATGGCTTGCAGGGTCGTCTTCTTCAACTATGCAAATACTGTTGAGTTCATCCAATGAAATTAAAAAGAAAAAAGTCGAGATTATTTTGCTTTCATCTAAAACTATTTGAGAAGGAGATAAAAACAAATAATTCGCCGATGAAAAAGGAAGACACTTTACCAAAAGATACGGATTTGGGAGATCTGTGCTCTTCTAAAATATTTTATAGTGATCGTTGTGTTAGGAGAAACGAGAGTGGAAGAACAAAAGGCATTGGTCGGTTTTATTGGCCACAGTGAGAGCCAAACGATGTCGTTTTGCTGCAGCGGAGGGATTTATCACTTCTTGGCCCCAGTAAATTAAAGGTCCTTGCAAAATGTTATTATTTACACAATCCTGTTTTATGTATAATTATTAAAATCAGATTTAAATTGACTAATCTGATTAGTTAAATTTTAAACAGAATATTTACTTAATTTGATTGATTAAGCCTATTAAATAAATATATATATTTTTTATTAGAATTAGAGTGTATAATTTTTTAATATTTTTTTTAAATACAAATGTTGTTTTTAGTGAAAGTTTCAGCAGACTGTGAGTTTAAAAAATATTTAAAATAATTATTAATTAAAATTATTTATTGTTAAAAGTTATTTAGCATTTAATAAATATATCTACAGAAAATATTATTGATTTAAAAAATTAAAATTTTATAATTGATAAATTATATATTATAATTTTTAGTTTTAAATATATAAAAAATGAATTTTAATTTTAATTATTATATAAAAAAAACACTTTATATTTTATTAATTTAGTTATATTAATTTTTTAAAAAAAAAATTAAAAAGAAGAAAACAAAAGTGATACTTCCAATGTGATATATGTTGGGTGCAAGCATTTTCTTTGAAGCTTCCTATAGATTGTCAAGTGCCCAAACCATATCCTCATTTTCATGTATTATAAATATTTATATTTAATTTAACTAGAAGATAATCGAGATGTTAAAAAATTCATTTAATGTAGAATTTAAAAAATATATATGAAATTAATTTCCAACCTTATCATCATTTAATTAAATTATATATAAATTAATAAATAAATTTCATAAATTTTTTTTATTATAATATCAACATAACTTTACAGGAAAATATAATTTTTTTAAAAAAAAAAAAAAAAAAAAAAACCCAGAAGCAATTGTAATTCCTAAAAAAAAAAATCCAAATCATGCTTAAAATTATTAATTCTTTTGGCATTAAATTACATTAGTTCTTTTCTTCTTCCTGATTTTGAGAGGAAAGAAAAGGAGGGCCAAAGAAACTGAAAACCCTAAAAGCTGAGATTACAGATAGAATAACGAAACAAGAAAGGAGAAAAGCATGAAGAATGACTGCAACTTTGATTTTGTGGCAGAAGTTTCCAAAAGATGAACAAGCTTCGCTCCACGTAATCTCTCGATCGCCATTGTAGGTTAAGTCTAATATCTCTAACACTGCACTTCCCGATGTCACCAGTAAGTATGCTATGATCTGCTCAATTACAATATTAAATAATTAGGGCAAATTTGAAAAAGAAAAAGTAAATTACTAAATTAATCCCCAAAATTTGTTATTTGTCGTAATTTGATATTACAATTTGGTTCTTGGCATTTTATATTTTATTTCAAATATTTAGTTTGATTCTCTTTTTTGTTAAAAAATAGTTAGATTACATTTATATATTTTAAAAGACAATTCAGAAAAATGGATATTCTTGTTAATAACATAGAAAAAAATGAATTAACATAACGTTAAAACAGCACCGAATATAACAATTACGGATACTGAGAAGAATTAAAAGATAAATTTAAAAAAAAAAAAAAAAAAAAAAAAAAATTGGAAGCAGAAATTTGAAAAATGAACCTGGTCGGAGACAAAGAAAAGCCAGGCTTTAGTTACCAAGCATTTGATCCATGAGGAGATAGCAGCAAGGAGAGCATAACAACCAGTTACAGCACTAATCAAAATCATGTACCTGTAAGTATATATATAACCATTTTGTCAATTAGTTTATAATTTGTAATTTCTTGAAAACATCTAATTCACATAACATTATAACGAAAATGGGTATTTATAGTTTAGACTTTAGAGTTTAAGGTTTAGAATGCAAGGGAAAAACTATAATTCACAAATATATATATATATATATGTATATATTTACTTGAGACCCATTAGATTGGTGTACTCCAATCTGCCATAGCTGCTGTTATCCTGCTGATTGGTGACAGTCACCCAAATGGTTGCAGCACTGAGAGGAATTACACAGAGCCTGAGAGAAGAGTCAAGGAGCTTCAACGATGGTGGTTTATGGTGAGTGGAATTTGCTTCACTTTGCTCAAGGTCTCTTCTCATTTTTTCCAAAAAACAGCAAAACCCAGTTTCACTCTTGCAAGAAAACTTAATGGGTCTGCTAGAGATATATATATATATACATACATAGATACAAGCATATATGAGATGTATGTATATGTGTAATCTTTGTTGTGGTGTGAAAGGCTTTTAGTGGAGAATTAGTGGTTTGTGCATTTTTGGAGAAAGGGAATCATTGTGTTGTCTGTTTGGTATTGTCTGTTGGTAAAAGATGAAATGATTGAATCCACAAACACAATTCAAAAAGCTTTTCTTTCTTCTCTCTTCTTTTCTTTTCTTTTTTTTCCTCTTGGAAATTCAAGTGTGTGAAACCTAACCAAAACTGTCAAGCAAGCAATATCCCTGTGTATATATCTATATACACATATATATGATATATGCTTCTTACATCATGATGACAAGAGTAGTTGTTGGTGAAGGGGTAGAACTTTATCTCCAGTTTGATTTTACTGCGGTTCAATTCTGTAAATCATTGTGTAATAATTTACTATCCTTTAATTTTATTCTTTTTTCTTTTAATCAAAAGTTATAGTTTCTTTTTTCTTTTTTTTAAAAAGCAAATAATACCTAACGTAATCAAAACTAAAAAAAGTTCAAAAATCAAAATATAATAGTTTAAGAATATTTTTTGTTGTAATTTATCTATTTAAATAGTGACCTTTTAATTAAAAATTTAGATCATATCTATTTTTCTTTTCCAATCCTTATTCTTAATTTTTACTGTCTCCTTAAGTTCCAACAGTATAAACTTATTAAGGAAGAAACTATGTTATTTGAAGTGCAACAAAG